TCCTCGATAACGGTAGCACGTATCGTGACGGGGTTTGGCTTATTTTGTTCGTTATTATGTAAGGATGAAGCCAGAAAATTGTATTTAGCGATAAAGGAAGAAAAAAAAATTTTTTTTCGATTTTTAAAAATTTTTGGAAATTTTTCATGTCTGTGTAGAGTGATTCCTCGATAACGGTAGCACGTATCGTGACGGGGGAGGGCTTTTTTTGTTCGTTATGATGTAAGGATGAAGCCAGAAAATTGTATTTAGCGATAAACGAAGAAAAAAAATTTTTTTTTCGATTTTTAAAAATTTTTTTTTACGGGAAAAATTTTTTTTGCGGGAAGTTGTCGTTTTCTTCCTTTTGCTCCCTCATATAGGAAGTTTTATGATGGGATACATTTAGGCTTTCGTATATAATTATCGTAGGATATATTTAATGATATTTCTATATACTAGATCGAATTTTTGACACATTTTGGAATGTATGTGGGTGTATGCGGCTGTATGGCTGTGTAGAGTGATTCCTTGATAACGGTAGCACGTATCGTGACGGGAAAGGGCTTATTTTTTTCGTTATGACATAGGGACGAAGCCAGAAAAATTCATTTATCGATAAACGTAACGTTTTTTTTTCTATTTAAGAAAAAAATTTTTTTTTTTTGCATTGTTTGTTTGAGATACCCGATAAAGCTGAGAGGCGCTTTCGTTTCGCTTTCGTAATTAGAAAGATGATATTAATATTTTCAAATTATTTTTAAGTTAAAAAAAAAGTATGAAGAAGCTACTTGCCAATACATTGGCAGCGGTTTTTTTTTTGGTATTTACCAGTTTCATTTATTCATAGAATAAGATGAGATTATTATATATATTGATTATTTTTTTACATTGTTATAAATAATAATATTATAATAATTAGGTTACAAATAATAACTATAATATAGGGGATTGTAAAATTGGTCCATTGATGGGCACATTTTGACTTCTTTTCATAACAAACCATTTATAAAGGGCTGCATCAACATCTGGATTCTTACAAACACGTCTTTTTTTAACGGACCCGCGGCATTCTTCGAAAGATTTTATTATACTCTCACGCAATGCAAACGTCGGTATGAGATTTTCCGTTTTGCAAATCTTGAATGATAGAGTTTTTTTTGGATTAAAATCTCCCATTTTCAAATTGTACAAAAAAGTACCAGAAATACGTTTTCCTTGCGAAAGCAACTGTAAAATTGATCATTAACTTGCTTAAAGTAAGCTTTGTGTACATAATTCTGTGTTATTGAGTTTGCGTACGAGTATCTAGCTACGAGTGTAAACACGCAATTTCTCGTTATAAACGTCAATTTTTCCCAAAATTTTTCCTAAATTTTGCTCGTTATACCCGACTTCTCGTTATATCGATCTCGTTATATAGATACACTTTCCTATACCTAATGCATTGGAACCAACCAAATGTCCAAAATCTGCTCGTTATAGCCGGTATCTCGCTATATCCGACCTCGTTATAAACGGCCTCCACTGTATAATAAATTTGAGTTCATGAAATATATTTTTTGTGAATTCAGCAGTTTAATGTCTTTTATCTTTGTATAATTGTTTTCTACAGTACAAGGCGGCTGTACCTTAATCCTAGACGCTGGATTAGATAAAATGGAAAATAATCAGATCAAAGTATATCACTAAATATAATTAAACTGTTAACGTTTTGTTTCATTATCCCTACACAGCTTTTATGAAAATTTCCGAATTTTTTACATTTGATTACGTTTAAAAATCGGTGTCAATACATTTCCAAGACGCTTCCCCATGAAAAAATGATTGTCCTGATTTTTAGCTATTAATGCTGATATAATAATTATTTACCACTTCAAACACAAATCAAGTTCGTGATCAACAAAATCGACAATAACTGCAATTCATAACAATAATCTTTACCGTCCCATTATTGAGAAAACTCCTACACGATGCATACCCAGACACCCAAAAAATTTGTGTAAAAATTATTCAAATTTTATTCATTAAAATTCTATTTAGGTGAAATAATTTAATTTTTTTTGATTTCAGGGTTTAATATTTGTTGTTGATAGTAATGATAGAGAACGTATTGGTGAAGCTAGAGAAGAGCTGATGAGAATGTTAGCTGAAGATGAATTAAGAGATGCTGTTTTATTAATTTTTGCCAACAAGCAGGTAAAAACCAATTAACGAAATATTTTTCTCGTTTATCTAAATTATCAACTCGCATTATGCATCATGAAAATCTTGCGACATTAATGGATTCGTGTATTTGAAATAATTTTTTTCTATCACATAATTTCCTATTTTTGGTATGCGATTGATAATTTCAATACATGGTTGATACTCCCGAAGTCTGCTTTTTGGGGTATAGAAAATGAAAAAATGGTGAAAATTTTTTTGTCACATTAAATGGTGCGAACTAGTTAACTCTTTTTTAAACCATTAAATATGAATAATCATTGAATCTGGGGCCTTGAGATTTCGTTCTACGAAAACCATGTCCGATTTTATGCTTAAAATTGACTATTTTCGGTTACGGAGGTGACACACACGGAGCTGACAAATCGCTGCTTTGATCAACTAACAAGGAGACCACCCCAGCTCCGGGTCATGGATTTGCTCCAAAATTTTTTTCGGGTTTCCTGGTACCCAATACTGAAGCTCCCTGTGCTTAGTTTGATCTCATGGGCCTTAGGGCCCATTTTTAAGAGGATTTTCCACATTATAAAAAAGTCTTTGTTATTTTCTATATCGATATAGAAGTACTTAAATGAAAAAATGCGACGATAAAAAGTTTTAAAATTTTTCAAAGAATCTGCTTGAATTTTTCCATAATTTTTGGGACCATCTATGACTTAATTCAAGAGGCCCAAATTTGACGCTTTTTTTAATAGATTTTAGGACTTCTTAAAGAGAGTGATAGATAGCCCCGAAAATTCTGAAAAAATTCAAGCAGATTCTTTGAAAAATTTTAAAACTTTTTATCGTCACATTTTTTCATTTGAGTACTTCTATATCGATATACAAAATAACAAAGATTTTTTCATAATGTGGAAAATCCTCTTAAAAATGGGCCCTAAGGCCCATGAGATCAAACTAAGCACAGGGAGCTTCAGTATTGGGTACCAGGAGACTCCAAAAAAATTTTGGAGCAAATCCATGACCCGGAGCTGGGGTGGTCTCCTTGTAAGTATGAAAAATGAGAAACGCGCAAAATTTTCCGTACAACTCGAAATTCGGTCATGAAAAACGAGTCTTTTGACGGTTAAAAAGAATGATCATAGCTCGAGATATTCATTTCCACGGAGGTGACAGTTTTTTTGACACACGTGAATTTTCCAATAGAATAATTATCGCTGTATAGCTAAAATTTGAAATTTGAACCCGCAACCTACACTAATCGAAAGCTGGGTTCTAATACTTGACATTTACGTATCTAGGGACATCAAAAATGGGTTATCCAAAGCAGGCGGTATACTTGAAATTATTCGGAAGCACGATTAAAATCCGAGACATTTTTGAATTGTGTGGGAAAATTTTTAAAACATTTTTCAAGGTCCTATGATAGACTTAAACATTACTTTAGATGTATAGAACCTGATTTCGTAGTTATTATAGAGCCAGGTGCTTATGAGAATGCATGGTATATGCAAATAAAGTTAACTTTGAGATCTAGACATGCCACGGAGGTGACATTTGGCATGTATATCTTCACGGCAAATTTAACTGGCACTAAAAAATTGAAATATTCATGTCCAATCATGAAAAATACAACAATATTGAATGAACGACCGAGCCAGTTTTGGCTTATCTTCACTAGTTTGAGAACATGGCATGTAGACATGCAAAAAGCAGACTTCGGGAGAATCAACCATATATGAAATTGAAAAAATGATTAACATGTCAAGAATATAACGAGTTTTGCAATTTAAGTTAGACACTATAGCTATGTATTTATTCCATGCATCGATTTACTATACAAATATATTTGAATATCGTGGATTTCTATTATGGCGGGGTATGGTCCTGACCTCGAAAAATTTTGAATTTTTTTTTATGGTTTTATTTGATTGTTTATACTTTCAAGAGTATTCTGTGAAAATTTCAGCCCAATCTGAGCAAAATTGATGAAAATATTGAACTTTTAATTCGATTACCATTTGCCATCTGTGGCATTTGACGTCAATTCATTTTGTTCAGAAAATTCGTTATAAATAAAAAAATATCTCTACGTCAGTACCTGCTCGAAGGGTTTATAAAGAACTATGCAAATTTTCAAAAAGATTGGTTGAATACTTTTTTAGTTACGTTTCTTACCGATTTGAAAAATCTTGACTATAATGTTGTATCTTTGAACTGCAATTCCTCGAAATGACATTTTTCAAATCGGTGAGCAACGTCACTCAAAAAGTATTCAACCGATCCTTTTGAAAATTTGCACAGTTCTTTATAAACCCTTCGAGCAGGTACTGACGTAGAGATATTTCGATTTTTCCGAAAATTTTTTTGTTTATAACAAATTTTTCGAAATAAATGGTCGATTTTTCGTGTCTGGACGCAAGTTTAAAGTTTTTTTTCAACTTCAAAATTACGTCAAAATTCGAAAAATCACTATAAATGAAAAAACTCTACGTCAGTCACTGATAAAACTCATAAACTAATGAGGTAATTTTGCATTTTTCGTTTCAGATGATTCTGTGAAAAGTTACGTTTCTTACCAGAATTTTCACGACTTTTCCGTAGATTTGCTCTCAAAGGTCCAAAAATGAAAATTTTTTGATGAAATTTTCACAAAATACTCTTGAAGTCATGTACTTTCACATGTACATTTTAGAAATAAATTTTTTTTTTACTAGTAAAAAGAATTGAAAAATTGAAAAAAATCGATAAATCAGCACCATACCCCCCCTTAAGAACGTGGTGACTACTTTCACAAAAATCTAAAAGTCCCTTTAAAAATTCTAAAAGTTACATGTCGGTTCTTCGATAAAATCTTTGTTTTATACATTTTTATCATAAAGCGCTTAACTATCGAGTGGAAAAATATATTTTAGTTTTAATGTAATAATAGTTCAATCTCTCAATTCAAAAATGGAGCACTTATCGAAAAAAGTTGTGGAAAAAAGTTTTTGGAATTGATCAGAAAAACCGTATTTATTTTTCCAGAACTTTAGAATGTTTCAAAAATTAGTCACATCCAAAAAAAGCCCACAATTCACATGTGTTCTTGAATGAATTTTAAGCAATTGTTGTCATTAAATTACGTTGAGAAAGCTTTCTTTTCGAATGAAAAATTTCAAAAGTGTTTTCATCTTTTCGATTTTGATTTCCATTTTGTTTCCTCAAACTTTTTATCTTAAACTGAACTGAATAATGTTCAATTTTAGTTTATGTATCGGATGCTACGAAACTATAAGATTTCAAATGATTTCCACGTGGAAAATCAAAAAATTAATTTTTTTATAATACATTTTATTAATAAAGAACTACTTTTAAACTGCTTATTTTTTCATTAATCTGAGGTCAGATTCTAGAAGATCTTTAAATTTCACATTTAAATTGATTGTTTTTATATTACTTCGACTCCATTTTTACCGAGAACATTTTCACTGGTAGATTGTTGAAATATTGGGTGCCCACGATGAAATTTTGTTGCCTACTATCGTCACGATTTTACAATTTTTTTGCAGTTTTATATTGCACTATCATGTTATGCTATCATATTTCTAAATTGTAAGTTAATTTATAATTACAAATCAGATTACACAACCATAATTTTTTCAGGATTTACCCAATGCCATGAATGCTGCAGAAATAACAGATAAATTGGGCCTACATTCACTTCGTAATCGTAATTGGTACATACAAGCTACATGTGCAACTAGCGGCGATGGACTGTATGAAGGATTAGATTGGCTCTCTAACCAACTCAAAAATGCAAACCGTTAAATAGGCAATCGATCTATAACTTTGTTAAGTATATATAGATTCACAATCTCAAAAAATTAAAATGCCTAATTAATTTTTTTATCATAAAATTAATACAAAATTCTGAAGAGATGAATAATTAATTTTTTCTGAATAAATATCTTGATAAGAGATTAGATTACCAATATGTAACGCAAAATCTACTATTCAAAACATTGTAACATACTTTCCTTTTTTGGAGTCATGAAAAAATGAAAGATTCATATACATATGTGTAATGCATTGTGACTTTGGAATACATGTCTTATTAAAGTTATAATCTGCTTCATAAAATTTATTTTTCAAATAGTTACTTTCCATACCTTTTATATCGCTTTAGTTTTAAAATTAATTGCTGCTTAAGGGACTATTACCGAAATGAATTTTTTAACTATTATATCATTTTTTATATCATTTTTGCATGGCTTATACTATCCAGAATCACCTTAAGTTTGATACAGAAATTCTGGTTTCAATTCCGTCAAAGTCAAGATAAGCATATACGCGACATTCATTTTTCTCGAGATGTGATGTGCTTTTGCGGGTCGGACAGATAATCTCCGGATACTTCCAGCCGATCCTTCCTTACCGAATTTCATACACTTTTTTAATATTATATTAGACTTGGTAATATTTCAGAATACTACGAAAATTCCGTTATTTTTTCTTCAACAATTTTTGCATTTTTTGTAAATTATCCTGTCCCACATGTTACTAAAAAAGTGTACAAATTTAGCAACAATCAGCCGAGTAAATTCGGAGATCAACTATGCATGCTTCGAGAAAAAAGACTTAAAGAATTAAATTTTTTTAATATGTTTTTCTACTCCTAACATCGATCAAACAAGTTGTTATAAATGTATAATAATCGAGCCGAGAAAAAATGGTGAAAATAGCTTTTATTCTTTTCTTTTAACCGATAATAGTCCCTTAATAAAGACTTAAATACTAAATTGATTTCCACTCTTCTTGTAATGTTAATTAGGTACATAGAGTATCAACTGAATAAATAAGTCATATATACACCTAGATAAAGTCACGAGAATTCTCCGTAAAGTCGAGTAACCAAAAAAATTATGGACAAATGTCCGTATGTATGTGTATGTGTGTCTGTGCCTGCGCATGTTCTGTCCTGTTTCTCGGTTTTTTTGCTAAAATTAAGCTGCATTAAACTACCTCGTAAATGACCAGTATGCATTGACTTATTTCATATAAAAATTTGCCTAATTCAATATTTTGTAATGCCGCTAAAATTCTTTGTTCATTTTTGGTTGATTATAATGATTTGTATGTAGATTTCCATTGTATCACTTCATTGATCTTGAATAAATATTCCTTTGTACTTTGGGATTGATGCGATTATGCTATGCCAGAAACAAGTTTCATAAATCTGTAGATAAATAAAAACAAACTTTTAAGAGAATCGAAATTATATTTATGAATGATTTTGGCTGGATTGAATAAAAGTTGGTAAGTCAAACAAAGTAAGTGTAATAAACAATCTACTTCACTGTACAGAATTACGTTCGATTTTTCTCTCGCACTGGTGCACAAGATGACTGCAGATCAAATTAAGTGTCTTTTCATCTAATAATACTAAAAATTGTAGAAAGGTACGGATAATTTATCGTTTTTGCATCTTTCATTCCAACTATATTGGGAAAATTATTTGGTACCCGACTTTTGAAACACACTGAGAAAGACGGAAACTATACCTACAACTTGCATTTAATCATTCCCGTTAAAACTTCGATTTTTTTTCGTATATTATAAAAATGATTCCGGTAAAAACGTTCACACTGAAAGGTTCAAATTCTCAAAAGATCAAACTCCAAAAGGCTCAGAATTCGGAAAGGTTAAATACCGTAAAAGTCTAAAAAGTCAAAATAATGAAAAAAATAGTATATTTTGCACCTAGGGAGTGAAAAACTGGAAAGTCCCAGAGCACGTGTAATTTATCATCCGAGGCGAAGCCGAGATTGATAATCACGTGCTCTGAGACTTTCTTTTTTCGCTACATAGGTGCAAATATAATTTTTTGTGAATCCCTCAGCCTAAAGTAACATTTTGGTTTTGCGCAGCGGGAGTAAAATGTTACTTTAGGTTGGGGTAGCACAAAAAATCAATTTCATACAGGAGGAGGTTTAATTTTTGGCTAGTCATTTATACTTGCATATAATGGCCAAGATCTTTCAGGTTTTTCAAAGTGTTGTTCTTTTCGACGTTTTCTTCGTGGCGTCTCTCTATATAAGAAAGCATATTTTCAACTTCTTGAATCTTTCCATTTGGCATTTTTTGCTTGACACAACTCGATATAGCCTTGTTCGTGTTGTGATTCGATCAGAAAAGCATAGAGGTTTGGATGGCGTATTCCAACAACCATCTGGAATCGGTTGTAACATCCTTCAGATGCTTTATTAAAGTGAAACTTCTTTATGCTTGTTGGATATAGGCCAAGACGAAAAACGAGCATCTGTCCGTTCGTACCGCCGATCGCGATAATAGTATGAATATAGACTCTGCATAGACAGGGTACTTTGGTGCGGTCTGCATTGGCATCTGCCTTTTTTGGCTGCCGAATCTTAGGCGCTCGTCTACTGTTATTGTTTCGTCGAGAATTCAGAATTAATCTGAATTCTCGTAATTATATTTGTAGAAGGGTTGATAAAATAAAACACTTGGTTTAAGAGGAAAAAGTACAAAAGAAACCTCTCTTTATTTTGTTCGATTTGGAAACTGAATAGATGGATTCGATGTGATCGTGGTGGTAGCCAAAGCTAGACTGAATAGTATGCAGCTCAGAGCCGCCGAACGACAGTATCTTAACGACACTGGGAATCACCCACATACATGGCCGTGAGATGGAAGGTGTGAGCGCGCGTACGGTACACGTTACGACGCATGAATCAAGTTAGCGGTGCTGGTAAAAACAACTACATCGCGTGCCGGACGGCGTGTCGAATTTCATGCGTAAAATCTTTATGCTAGATACTTCAATAACGCCAAAACAAAATACGCACGTCTCACTAGCTGCTGCTATTGCCATGTATGTGTGTGTGTTTTGTATATTCTCGATGAGAACTGAACAGCTATAGCAGCAGGCACATATACGCGCTTGGCGTTCAATTTATCAAAATGTTTGAAATTATTGAATTCTCGCAATATTGAGGTCTTTTAAAACAGCCGTATATTCAAGTAAAATTACCGAGAACAATTTTAGTTACACAAAAGGTTTTTAAAAGTCTTGCAAAAACCTACAAATCGGTAAGCTCCGAAGGTTTTTGAAAAATTTGGTGTGTACTAGAGCATTCTAATAGGAAAAACAAGCTATTTTCAGACGCAGAGGTATATTCTGCATACGTTTTCAAATTTTCGAGAGCTAAAAAATGTACAATGTATGGGGTAATAGAGAGATGTAGATTTTATCAAAACTGACCTAATATCATAAAATAGCATAAGAAGAAAAATTGGTGTATAACTCCCCTCTAGTTAGCTGTCTATGGACAGCTATCAGAAGTGAAACTTCTTTAAGGAGACATATACCTTAAACTCAAATTTTTTTTATTAGATTTTCACGTTGAATTTTTCCTCTCCTTTTCATTGCATTTTTTGAAATTCCAAAATTTGCACTGGCAAGAAAACCTTCTCACCTTTGGGTCCACGTAAATACGTGGATACAAAAAGACGAAAATGAGTCTAAAAGACACTTTTTTTATTTGCCTCCCCCCCCCCCCCCCCCCCNCCCCCCCCCCCCCCCAAAGACACGTAAAAAAGCTCATATCCACGTATACGGAATAGAAAAAAAGCTTAAATCCACGTAATACTTATATGCACGTGAAGATTATATCCACGTAGGACTAATATCTACGTAAACTGAATTGGACACCTGGTCCTTGAAAACACTACATGTTACTGTTACAACACCTCTTGTTGCGCACGAAAGCTACGAGAGTCGATGAGGAGAGGAAGCACTCACTACACACGCGCTTCCCCTTATCCGAGTTCATTTGCATACGCGAGACTAGACTCGCGATTTCCCTATTATATTATAACTATTACACGCTAGAGTTCCAGCCGTAGCAAAGCAGAGAGCGAGCGACGCTGGACCCCCACGCAGCATCCACGGCCGTATGACGTCATCCACGTGACGACAATTAGTCAATCAGCGCGCACTGCGAAATTTCTTTACCGCACTAATTGCTAAATCAGCACGTGCATGCAATGAACATGAACTATTGGGAAATTTCGGCCGCTTGACTCAAAGAGCGAGCGCTAGCACTTGGCCTATTTAAAGAGCGAGCAAAGGCACAGTATGTTTAAAGAGCCTATGGGTTTGCCAAAAATACCTCTAAATTCTGTAGTAATTGTTCGAAAGTATGTAAAACACTGAATATGAAACCGTTCGAACGAAAATTGTAGCTCCTACTCTATCGAAATGTCCTCTTAAACTGCATCAAACCATTATTGCCATTATTTAATATTGGTGTTTTTTGAGGGGTTTGTTTAGTTGAAACATAGTTAACTCACTTAAATCCTTATTCATAGTTGTACAGCTTTAAAGTATAGAAAACAACCTTTAATTTGGTTACTTCAAAAACATTCCAAGTCATATAGAACCGGAGATACAGCTATGTGAAGATTCACGAATAATTTAAGCAGTGTGACCAGCACCGAGATCGAGCGCGCCGCCACCTGGAGACAAAAAGTCGCCACTAATCGCCATTCAAAGAAGTTTAAATCGCACAAAAATCGCACACAATATGACGATGAAGAAAGTTATAACAATTTGCAGAAAATAACTTTTTTCATCGTCGTATTGTGTGTGATTTTTGTGCGATTTAAACTTATCAGAGGGAATGTTACTAGAGGAAAAGTGAACAATGATTTATAAGGAATTGAAAAAAAAAGATAAATTAGACCAAGAACTTTATTATTAAAATAAAATTTATAATTATTAATGAGAACAAACATTTTCCAAGGTTGATATCTCGTCGATAATATTGTCCTCGAAAGAAACGAGATCGTCGGTATCATTTTCTCTACCCATTGATACAGTATTGTTATACATGACTTTATAATTAAAATCTTTAATCATTTTATCGGACGGCTNGCAAATTAATAGTTTCAGCATACTCGACCAATGCATCGTATAAAGATTGTGCGTCCGCGCGATCAAGCTGTATAATGCCTAAGTAATTGGTTACAATTTTTTTTTTCGCAACACTAAAATATTTAATACAGATACACATGTATTTATGCACACTTATGTCCGTTGATTCATCAACAATTAAGGAAAAAGGCATTTTACCTATATCAGAAATTAAATCAAGAAGGACGTTAGGGGCGATCACATTATTAATAACATTTGAGCACTTTGTTCTGTGCATTTTAAAATCAGACATCCCTGGAACCGTTGCTTTAAGAACATCGCAAAGATGATCCATCGTTCTAAATGAAGCGTGGCAGGCGATAAAGGCCGCAATTGTTATGTCGCGAATCTTGTCGTTCTTGGAATTACTTGTTGCGACGCTATTCATCGACACAATCGTTTTTTGTTTACTCGGGTGGATGGAATCCATTAATGTCGAATGTGTTGGTGTATTTGCATGTTTTTTCAGATCGGTTGCATGTGCTCTGAAATCTTTCGTACATACTTTACACCATGCCTGATTTCCGTTCACTGGTATTGGTTCGGCTTTGGCAAGCCATCCTGTAACAAAGAATCAGATGTCTACGTAAATAAACAAAGAAATAACGCATCAAAGCAGTTGATATCTTTTGACCAAATAAATAAAATTTTAGTATATTATTGATCAGTATTTCAAAAATAATATTCATATTGATACGTTATGTATACAAAAAATCATTCGTACCTTTTGCCCAGCTTTCTTTTTCCCACTTTTCTTGGTAATGATAAATTCTAGAACTTTTTTTAGAAGACATCATCTATGAATTACAATACACTACTTTGAAACTTATTACGGTTGAAAATAGTTCACTTTGAAAATAATCAGATTCAAAAACTTTGTCAGATTCTTTAATGACACACGTACGCTGAACGATGTTGCAAAGAAACAAATGAGCCTCTGTCGTCCTTAACTATAGCTGTCTTTCTTTATCATATGTAAGGCGCTAGAGGTTTGTTTGTGTCCCATGACGCGTACTATAGGCCGAACTCAACTCGCTTCCTATGCGCCAACGCGATTGCAGACTTCTCATCGATTTGCGCATGTGTGAGGCGTGATTTGCGCGCGCTCTTCGAGTTGCGAGTTTGCGAACGGCTGACAATTGCTACGGCGACACATTCGGTTTTGTGCGCGTAAAACATTTTTATTTTTATTTAGATATAATGAGTGTGCATGAGTCAAAAATCGCAAATTTGATCTTTAATGGCTGAAAAATCGCCAGTCGCCATAATAAAAAAAAAATCGCCATGGACGTAAAGAAATCGCCAATTTGGCGATAAATCGCCATACCTGGTCACACTGAATTTAAGTATTAAATGTGTGAACCGTTGATAACTAAATTTGATACGTGGATTTTTCATGAAACTTCATACGCTGCATTTTCGGTTCTGTGTGACTTATAATGTTTTTAAAGTGACCAAATTAAAGGTAATTTTCAGCACTTCAAAACTGTACAACTAAAAATATGGATTAAAGTGTGTTTAATATTTTTCAAATGAACAAAACTAAAAATAACAACTTATCCTTTTTTTCTCGATTTCTTGTCAAACGTTCATTTGCTATATCTTCGGTCCTGTTTGTCATAAAATGTTCTTAATATGACCAAATCAAAGGTTATTTCATGTTCTTCAAAGCTAAATAATTTATTATGGGGGCACAACAGTTTCAATGCGAGTAAAATGACACAAACCGTTGGAAAAATGACAAATATCTAATATTGTCATATTTTTTCGATGTTTTTTAGCATTCATACAGCTGTATGAAGGTTCATGAATCTTCATATAGCTGTATATCCGGTTCTATAGGACTTAAAATGTTTTTAAAGTAACCAAATTAAAGGGTTTTTCGACACTTTAGAGCTGTACAACTGTGAATATGGATTAAAGTGAGTTTAGTATGTTTCAAGTGGACGACCTCCCAAAAAACAGCGGCAATAAATAGCGGCAATAATGGTTTGATGCAATTTAAGAAAACATTTCACTATAGTGGCATCTAGGATTTTCGTTCAAACGGTTTCATATGCAGTGGCTTACATTCTTTCGATTACTTACAACAGAATTTAGAGGTATTTTTGGCAAACCTATATGCTCTTCAAGCACACTGTGAAGGCAAAGTCGAGCATTGATAATTGAAATTGCGACGCACGGTTGACCCCGGGGTGGGGAAAAGCAGCAAATCACCTACCGTCGAATAAATTTCTTACAGGACCACCTTACCTGGTCGATTACTCCCAGAGGGGATATTGGGCCCATCGTCATATCGAGCTTACTGTAGACTCGCTAACTCATCGTTGAATTCCGACAACTTCCGCTGAAATCCGCGAAAAGTAATGTCGCGAAATAAATAGGCTATGATGTCAATTAAATGTTTTACTTTATTTAATTGAAGGCACAATTTGCCGGAAAACCACTTCAATTCGCCCAACGGGCGATGATCTACTTATAAAAAAGAGAACGGCCGAAAAGTTAAGCCGCGTAAAACGACCTCTAATTGGCTGACACTGACGACGACGCCCGACGCGAGCCGACTCTATACGAGTGCCTGTGCTGCTAACTGTCAACAGACAGTTAGTACTTGAGTAACCTCAAAATTCGAATGAAAAAATTGACGCGCGCGAAGCGCGTTTGAAACATACTATTTCTGAATCTTAAACTAACCTCAAAACATAAATAAAAAAATTGATACGCGCGGAGCGCGTCTTAAACGTCTAGTTTACAATATTACGCGACGAGGCACAAGTTCGACCTAACTTTACTTCCGACTTTGCCCACCGGGGGCGTGCTCAGCGCTCGAGTTGATCGTATCTCGTGATGCGGTCCTAATCGGCCGAGTCAATATGGCGGCTGCGCGCGCAATCTATGCGACGATGGCGAGTGTACGTGTACCGACGCGACGTGGCACTCACACACTGATCCCGGCGATACGTTTCGTATTCTACCGCGGGCAATCTGCCCTGATGCTACCAGCCCGGATGTTGAACGTTACACACGCCCACTAATACTTTGCTCACTGCATATCGCCGCTGCGATACTCGTCAGCCAAGCTTGAGCTCACACACACACAAGCATACGCCCGCGACCTGGTAAGTATCGCGTCGACCAATAACCTCGATAAGAATCTTAAAACTATCCCCAAAACTTCGGCGCCTCGACGTTGGATCGGCTCCGCTTCTCGGCTGCAACTTGGCCCCCGTCCGGGCGTCGATGATCTACGTGCGACGACGAGATGCGGTCTTATGCCCACATCTAGGCGACGATGTCAGATTGTTTTTGCACTGGTGCATTAGCTTGCACAGGCCCGACTGGGCGAAACTTGCCTCACAAACTTATAGTTAGTGGCGAAGAATTACCTTTCCGAAAGCAACCTACTGCTGCCGCCGACAGACGTACGAGTGCGTAAGCTTTTTGCGTAAAGTTATTTTTGCAAAAAACAGCTCTACAAAAATGTACTGCTGCACTTGTATTTTCGACTGTGAAGCTGTTTGCAAGAGACTGACGATGATTACACTTGTAGCAATAGAAGTATAATCTCTCTTTTATAATTCCTAGTCGCATTTTAGTGTCTTTTTCACAATATCCTTTGTGCGCGATTTCTTTAGCATCTCGATATCCAGGGTGAAGGAAGAGCCCAGCGGCCAATCATCAGTAAAGCAGTTCGTGCGTATTCCAGCCGAGTTCATCGTCATCTCCAGGGTGACCCAGCAACGAGCACCGTAACCCTGCGTATTCTCCGGTAATTAATTATTGTATTTCGAGAGATCTCGCTTCCTTGGTCGTAGAATAGATGATCATTGTAAGCCTGTCACCGTACTCTGCGTGTATCCACGATAATTTCGTAAAAGTTGTTTTTGATCAATTATAATATCATTGACTACTGATTAATAAAGAAAGATAGTTTATTTTATGGGGGTCTAATTATTAATGTTAAAATCATTAACGAATTCATAAGAGAGCTGCAGTACTTCCCTCACGTCGGTAAGTTGACCACAGCCCTCTTCGACGCACGCGCGGCAAGCGATACAAGCATTCAGCGAGTCCGCTGTAAAGAAGTGCTCGCTCTAAAAATATTCACTATTCACTTGCACGCGCTTCAAGAGCCAACTACGTTGCAATATTTATATTACTTGGAACCTTTTGAAAATTTTATACAAAGTTTATGAAGGTATTAGCATTCGAAATCTATCATAAAAAATAAATCAATTTATAGAAAGTTGTAAACCAGAATGCTCCCTTAATATAGAGATGCTTGGGGCATACGGCAATCTTTGGGTATAAAAATAGTTTTAAAGGTTTCCCTTTGTGGGCACTAGTACCGTGGAGATAAGAAGTGGACGTTCCATTGCCATAAACAGTAGCGTATTATACAATTGTTATCATAAATCTAACGTGGTAACGATTCCATTTGATTAAAAAATAGTATAAAAGAATTTTAAGGTTTTGATTATAAAAACAAAATTGCACAGAATAAAAAATATGAACATGAAAATTTATTTTTTCGCAATGTGAAAGTGATGTCCTTATTTTCTTCTATCTATACTTTTATTTTTCATACTATAGTTAAAGCTCGTTGAAAATAAAATAATTATTCAATATAAGTTAGAATTTTCAATCTCGTTCTGATTTCTGCCGTTTTAAAGTCGGTTCACCATTTTGTGAATTTGAATCTTCAGAAAAACCTAAATGAGTTGAAAAGTCAGTAAGACCTTGAGAATCACTAACCGTAGAGAAACCTGTAACATTGAGAAATTTTTATAGACATGATCAACTTTTTAAAACATTTAAGATTAAAAATTAGTTACAAGTGTTTGAATCTTCTGTGATGCTGAAACTAGAGGTATCTACAAGACCTTTCCTTGGCACACATGAGTCTTTTTCAATAGCTGTTTTCAATTTTTTTTTCTAAAACAAATAATTAGTAGATTCAATTATTTATTGACACTAAACGATAAAGTGATTATTGACGAAATTCTTAATTTTAGGCTTTAAAGTTGATTAAATAAATTCAACTATGATTCTTTGCAAGTTTCAGAGCAGCTTTCTCAAAATGATCTAATTATAAACCTTGTGACGATGTCACTGGGCGGTAATTAACGCAAATTACGCGAGCTGTAATGTGTGGATGTAAGAGTGAGTGCGCGACCGAGAAGTATGGATAAGGTAGGAAAACGAGTATCACTAGAGCACGCGTTCGAGGTTCAGGGCAAAGGAAGAGCCAAGTTAACCTCGGACGCGTCTCTCGGACCACGTGCACTGAAGAGTAGATCGATCGGTGCGAATCGAGCGCCTCGCGCTGGATGCGTCGTCGATCTGCGCGACAGTGCACACAAGAGATTCGCAAGTAGACCGCGAGAGAGGACGGACGTGTGGCCGAGTGATAAGTCGAGTGTGAAGCTGTGTGGCAGCGGTTGAGTGGGTCGTGGATAAACTGTGTGGCAGCGGTTATTGAAGTTCTTTGTTCGTAAAAAGCTGTGTGGCAGCGGTTGAGTGGGTCGTGGATAAGCTGTGTGGCAGCGGTTGTTGAAGTTCTTTGTTCGTAAAAAGCTGTGTGACAGCGGTTGAGTGAGATCGTGGGGAAGCTGTGTATGCAGCAAAAGTTCGTGTGTCGTGTCCGAGGAGAAGCTGTGTTCGAGCTTGGAGTTGAGTGCGGCGGGAGAAGTTGCGACGTGACGAGGCGATCGCGAGGCTCGGAAGGCAGCGAGCCACGCGATTTGCTGTACAGCGACCTTCTCATCAATCGCCCGAGGCATCTTCGCGGCGAGGCAAGCGCCCTTGGACTGGGCAGACCACGAGAACGGAGCAGCTGGGGCACAGCGGGAGACGACATCGAGAATAAAGGCCGAGGCAACGGAGCGTCGAAGAAGGTTGTAAATTGGATTAGACTTGGTCGGTCGCGCGGATGTGTGAGAGTGTTGTATGATTGCGTAGTGTGAATGTAGAAGAGAAAATAAGAAGTTCGCCGTAGAATCGTTGTAGTACGAGTAGTGGAGATCGGAGTAATTGTAGCGAGTACCTTGGATTCAAGACGTGGTTCGAGTCCACGTGTCGCGTTTCAGGCCGGCGCGTGGCCATTTTTGCGAAGCGGTACTTCCGCCTTGGACGCTCCTGTGAGAGCAAACGAGATAGCGGGTTTCGTCTTGGTCGTGTGTGACCAAACCGCGCGTCTGCTAGCGCGAGCAGAGCGAAGGCGTCGACCGTATTTCGGAGAAACGAGCCGATTGCGCGCAGGGCAATTACGCGGCACTCGACTGGGACTCGCGTCGGACTAACGTTGTAATCCGCGCGTTTTCCCCTTGGACTCGCGTATAATCAGTTACGTCCGAGGCATGAGAGGATGATAATGATAAGAAATGAGATGACATGGCGAAATGAAGCGCGATTGCAGTGATGATTGTATGAATGATAGTTGAAAGTCGGAGTTAAATAAAGAACGATTATTTGTGTGCAAAAGTACATTTTCGTAGTCTTTTCGCGACCCTCTCTCACTTATTTTCAGCTTGGACTGCCGACGCTCGCGGCGCACTTGGTGACGGCTCGACCCCTTCTGAGGTAAGACTCAACGATAGTCTAACCGGAGTCTCAGTAAGAAATAATTAGACGGCAGGCCGAGCATGGGCTAGTGCCCAAAACCTCGCACGTCACAACCTATAAAGATTCTTAGAAAACCTATAGAAAGTATTTCTAAAGCTTACGGAAAACTTTCAAATAAAGCTTTCACAAAGCTAAAAATATCTACACCCAGATGAGTCTCAGAAAGCTTCTTTCAGGGATTCCGTAAAGATTCTATAGAAACAACTTATAAATCTTTCACGTCCCTGGTAGAAATCGAACATTTTTTCGGCATTGAAACGATTTTTGGATGATTTATTGGCCAACTCCCTGAATCAGTCATTTAGTGACCAATAAATGGTCAAGAAAACGTTTCATTGATGCTCTGAAAGGTTAAATTTCTACTAGTGGTAAGCTCACATTAATATCACAAGACATGCTTTTAGGAAGCTAAAAATTTCTGGGTCAAACTGGCCTTAATTATTAGTTTGCTAAAAATTTTTCATTTGTTTACGTGATAAATTAATCACAATTCAAATAAAAATAATTGACTCGTATCGCTCCATTGAGAAATAAAAAAAATGTTCAGTAATAGAGACCAGACCCAGTGAACTTTAAGTTTTTGGAGCCGCTGAATCCGAATCCAGCGTCGGTTTTTCATCATCAGATCGATTTAAGGTCATCTGAAGGTCATTTAAAGGTCAAATCATGAAAAAAAGGTTTAAGAGTCTGAAACAATTCCTACATAGGTTTTCGAGGATGCTGAATTCAAATCTGAAGTCAGATGACCTCTACTACCTTATCTTCAAGGTCATTTGAAGGTCAAACTTAGAAAATTCAATATAAAAATCCGAAAAAACACATTTATTTTTTTAGGGTCGCTAAATCTCAATCAAAGTTCATTTTGACTATATCCGGTCATTATAAGATCAATTTAAGGTCATTTAAGGTGGCTAGTCAGAAATCATAACAATAGTACAGCTAAGCGTATGTCTGTCTCTTTCTCGCATTAGGCAGTGTTCGAGAAATCTCCCGAACAGTGATCACTTTCCGTGGGCGCGCTCGAGCTCACGTGCAGTGTTGGGCCGCGCGATTTTATCGCTGCGCGCTCAGAGATGGCGTGGCGTTTCGTGCCTGCCGTGGATCTACGAGCAGTGCGTAGTTCGCGACGGACACGTGAATTTTGCACGTCGTGCAACTCGCGCTCCTCGAGATATCTCGCCATATATTAGCTCGATTCAACCTCGCCTCTCGCGTGTGACTCGTGCCCCAAATTGCAATCAACAACAAAACGGTCAGCTCACCCAGACGGCTTCTACACCATCTGTGGCTGCTCAACCTGTCCACATCTGCTGCTCTCAACCCAGGTGGGACAAGACAATAGACACCGGCCACTCATCGACGCCTGCTCGCTCGGCATTGCATCATCGTTCGACTCATCGGATTCAGCTCATCTCGGCGTACAACACCAGGTAAAGAACCTACACGGGTTGCTGAAGAAGACCAATAATGCCTTCTTAGGCCCTGTAGAGTCTTTTCACTTACTGGCGCAATTTAAACAAGCATGGGCGCTTGCAAAGCACGGAGTCACTGCGAGGAGAATTGAGGTTACGCTCACCACATGTGTAAGCTCACGAGATTCTCAGCACCTTTCACTTCCGAGACATGGCCGACACTCGTGTCTTTTTCCGCACACTCGTGCCCAAAAACGCCATTCGGGCACTTGTTGCATAAATAACTATTATGCAGTAGTAAGCGAAAAATACTTTAAGGTGACTCTTTACTGACTTGGCTAGTCAATACGAGTGTAGTTAGTTTTTTTTGACTCGCGTTGTACTGGAGCGACCTACGCGGCGATCAGCTGCTTCTGACAATTTGGCTTCTGCTACATCAAAAAATATTGTGAGCACGGATTCATTACATTCAATCTAATACTTGAATAATGATCCCGAAGAACGATATTCGTTTGAAAAGAGGTAAAAGAAGGGGACAGTTTGTGAAAAAATCAATTCTAAATAGAATGGAGAAGTGTCAAGAAGCCAAAGCCTTGAAGAAACAAGCAGAAGTAAGTAACCTATAACTTAACCTCGAAAGATCGTTTTGCTAATCTCTTGTTTGTTACTTTTATTTACAGCAACAAAAAGAGGATTTGGACATTTCGGGCATAATTTTGGATAATAAAAACCACATTGTGGACTTGAAATTTCTGGCTTCTCAACTGCGGTGCAAAAGGTGTTCACTGGATTTATCTCTGTCCAACATAATAGGAAAAAAAGGTCAGGTCTGGCTAGTGTACTGACCATTTTTTGTACTTCATGCCAACACAAACATTTTATTGCCACACAAGAACATGATGGGACTGAAAGATCATTTGATATCAACAGCAAAATTGCATTCGGGGAGAGAAAAATTAAGTATTTCTAAGCTCATTAAAGAGCGATATATTCATGTTTATTATTTAAATTTTCAGCCTTTATTGATACTGGTTGCGGTGAGACACAAATCAATTCAATACTGACATCTTTGGATAGAGGAGCATTATCAACTAAAACTCTGAAGATTTATGAGAGAAAGGTTGGTATGGTAATAGAAGAAGTGGCGCGAGAATCCTGTGCTGAAGCTGTACAGTTAGAGAAAAATATGACTTTAGAAAAGGATCAGGAGTAAGAGGTTTTTTTTAATGCTGAATGTTTTAATGGAATAGTTCATGGGAAAGGTTTTGTGGTAATTATTTAACTGTGATAAAGGACTTTGATCAATGATAAAACGTGGAAAATACAATTTGTGTATCAGCGAAGTGAATAGGACAGAAAAATTAGTGCTAGTCGCCTTATTTTTTTATATATTTTTTTATATTTATAATTGATTTACACACTTAACAGTGAGACATTACTCTTAATTGTGATAAATATTTTTATATTTTTTTTGCAATCAATTATGGAAGTGCAGTGAATTTGAAATTGATCTATTTAAGTGTGATTTTTTTTATATATTTTCAGTGGAAATTATTTACAGGTATATTTATTTATTGAACGAGACCATGAAATTGAGCTGTTTGATGAGAAAAAACTAATGTATATTTAATAAAAATTGCATACATGTGTAATATAAATATGTTTTGTCTAACCATATCTACAACCATTACTGTTTTTAGAAACTAGTATAAACGTAAACTAACATTAACATATAAATAAATGTTAAAATGCATGCATGAACTTTTGGTAGTTTTTTGTCTTTTTTTCTAAAGAAACATTGTTTTTTTATATATATTTTGAAATAGGATGAGCTGCGGTTTAGAAGAAAGAAGTGAAAACCAGGTAGTTCCATTGATTGCATCGTATGATTTTGGTTGG